CTGGATGGCTTTTCGATGACCTTCTATAGGCATTTTTGGGATATAATGGGCCCAGATATTCTAGCAGTGGTCTTGAATTTCTTTTTGGGAACCCTTCTCCCGAAATTTTACACAATGACAACGATAGTTTTGATTCCGAAAAAAGAGGGTCCGATGTCTTGGGTGGATTATAGGACGATTAGCCTATGCAAGATGAGTAATAAAATAATCACGAAGATGCTCACTGTTCAGCTTGGTTCCTTGTTGCCGACACTTTTTCACCGCACCAAAGGATTTGTTAAGGGGTGCGCCATTGCCGACAATATTCTTATGTCGTCGAAGATGGTGCAAGATTTGAACATTAGGGGGGCTGCCCAAAATGTTTTGATGAAGTTTGATTTGAACAAAGCATATGATCGAGTATCTTAGAGGTTTGTTAGGCATACGCTCATTCAGTTTAGGCTTTCGGAGAGATTCATTACGCTTGTGATGGGTTGTGTGGAGAACGCTTGGTATTCGGTGTTGGTGTATGGAGAGTTGAGTGGGTTTTCCAAATCTTCTTGGGGTGTGCGACAAGGAGACCCATTATCGCCGACTGTATTTGTCTTGGCGCCAAATTTATTATCAAGAGGTCTTGAGCGTTTGTTTTTGAGGAACCCAAATCTCTTTTACTGATGCCGGGGTGGGTTTTGACTATCTCACTTGGCGTATGCGGATGATGTTTTGATTTTTGCTAATGCCGGTAGCTTGCGGATTGGTTCCTTGACGGAATTCTTAAACGATTATGCATGGATCACCGGGCAAAAAATGAATTGTCAAAACAGCCACATAGTCTTTAGTCGTCGGTGTTCGGAGGAAATTCGGGAGTGGCTTTAGACGGCTACGGGGTTCGGAGTTGTGGAACTTCCACTGAAGTACTTAGGAGCCCCACTTTATGTGTGAAATTGCCAAAACATCTCGTATGAGGAGCTCCTCGGCAAGCTCCGGAGGTACTTGGCAAAGTGGGATAGGGCCGTCCTTTCGCAAAGTGGGATAGGGCCGTTCTTTCGCATGGAGATCGTCTTTAATTGATCCGGAGCACCCTATTTTCTCTACCATTATACTTGCTACAAGTTCTTTGGCCACCGAATACAGTCCTTCACTCGGTGGAGCAGTTGATGGCAATGTTCTTTTGGAGATCATACCATGGCCATCGGCTGTGCCATTGGATTTCTTAGGACGATGCTGCGAGGCCGGTGGAGGAGTGAGGCTTGGGTATTCGGAGGCTTTCGGATGTTATGGAGGCATTTTCTTATAAGCTTTGGTGGCGACTTCGGGATGGTTTTTCATTGTGGGCTCGTGCTACGAAGTACAAGTATTTTTGCACATCTTTTCCGGGGGACGCTCCATGCTCGAGTTATAATTGTCCCGTGTGAAAATATTTGTGCGGGGTTCGAGAGGAGGCACAATCTCGGATTTTTTGGAGTCTAGGTCGGGGAGAGTGCTTCTTTTGGGGTGATATTTGGTGTGGGGAGCAACCCCTATCGGCTCTTTGTGATACTCGCCCACCGGATTGCTTTGTTCATGACATGTGGAACGATTCTTGGGATTTGGAAAGACTGCGGGAGAACCTCCCGAAGCCCTTAGTTCGCCGGATTTCGAATATCCCGGTTAATAGAGAGGTTGATGATCGGATGATATGGAGGGATTCTAACTCCGGGGATGTTACTACATCATCGGCTTGAGATCCTTGTCGGGAGGTTAGGCCATAGAGTTGGCTTTCGGGAGTTTTATGGTCGCACCTCCTCACCCCTACGATGTCGGTCTTTCTTTGGCGTTTATTTCACTGACGATTGCCAGTGGATGAGGTCCTTAGACACTATGGTGTATATATTGTGTCGAAATGCCAATGTTGTAGATCGGAGGAGACGATCTCCCACTTTTTCTTAGAGTCGGCGGCCATTCGGCGATTTGGCATCACTTTGCGGAGCTTTTTCATGTTTCTATGCTGGAGACATATGTTCCACACATTGTAAGCGATTATCAAAGACACACCATCGGAGCATCCGGGCACTTATTCCCATGTTGATTATGTGGTTAACTTGGACCATCCGAAACGACACCAAACACCGAGGTATACTATTTTCTTCTTATAGGATCATTTGGCGCATTTCCATTTACAGGTACTGAGGCGTGCCGACATACTTTGTCGGAAGCAGGGGCAGCTATTAGCAGGAGTAAAGTGAGTGACCGCTCAGGGCTCAACTTTAAGAAATGGCCTATATTTTAAAATATTAATATATTATTATTATATATGTATTAAATTCCAAAATTAAATTTTAAATTTTAATTTATATTTTTTCTTCTCCATAATCACCTAATTTAATTTTAATTCTAATTTTTTTTTTTAAACTCTAATCTCAAATTCAATCACCATTCACAATTTCACTTTCTCTTTTCACTTTTTCCCTTTCGACCAGCCAGCGTTCACAATCCCCTTCTTCTTCTTCTTCATCTTTTCTCCCTCGGTTCAGCGACATAGACAGACAGGCAATCCTCCTCCCTCTTCTTCTTCTTTTCTCCCTCGGTTCAACGACATAGACAGACAGTCAATCCCCCTTCATCTCCTTCTTCTTTTCTCCCTAGATTCAACAACATAAACTTTTTGAAATCTGTTGATTGTTTTCCTAATGCAATTGTTGCCTATAGGATATTATTAACCATCCCAATTACCGTTGCAATAGCTGAAAGAATTTTTCAAAATTAAAGTTGCTCAAGATTTACTTGCGTAGTTCCATGTCCCAAGAAAGGTTAAACGGTCTAGCTTTAGTAGCAATTGAAAACAAAATTTTGGATAAAGTAAATTATGAAGATTTGATTGACGCATTTGCTTTAAAGAATGCACAAAGGACAAGACTTTTCAAATGACAATCTTGTAAGTACTTGAAATTTATATTTTATAATTTATTTTTATTATGTTATTTTCTATATTAGTTTTTCTTTGTGCAGTCGAATCCTCTTTTGATGAACATGTCAAGTCTGCTATATAATTTTTTGGAAAGCTTGTTTAAATTTTGTTTATTCCGGCTTCTTTTTAGCTCAGTTATATTATATTATATAAATATTTGTGCAAAGATTCTGTAACTAATGATACATTTAGAGTTTGTTATTATTATTGGATTATGATCTTTATAATAGTTAAATTATTTTTTCATTTTTTTATTGATGATACACTTTGTGCATATGAGCTTTTATTAATATATAATTAAGATCATTTTTACTTTTATGAAATTGATTATTATATTTGTCGATTATATTATTTTGAAAATTCATTTAATTATATGTTTATAAGGCCTAAATATTGGTTTTGCTCAGGGCCCTCAAAAAGTCCGAGACGGCCTTGGTCGGAAGCATTGGGAGGGAAATTTTTCTTTGGTGACGCACCTCGGGTTTTGATATCCTCCACCGATTCCTCGACCTTTGATTCTTGTTCGTTAGGAGGCTCCGTCATCGGGATGGTTCAAATTGAACATCGATGGTGCATCAATGGGAAATCCTTGACCAGCGGGAGCTGCAGGCATCATCCAGGATTCCTCAGGAGCGGCGGTCATTGCTTTTCAGTTGTCGATTTCTTTTGCGACGAATACCTTTGCGGAGTTAGAGGCGACTCAGAGAGGTGTTAACTTGGCAGTTGAGCATGGTCTCTTGCCGATATGGATTGAGACAGATTCGACAACTAGCATTGCTTTGATTTTTTCGTCGACAGGACATTGAACTTTGCAGGATTGCCTTCTCCAACTTCGATTGCTGCTACGCGGCACTACTTGGCGGATTTCCCATATCTATCGAGAGGAAAACCGAGTGGCGGATGCTCTATCGACAACATGTTGTTCTATCATGGGTTCCCGGATCCTTAGCCCTTCAGAAATCCCGGCGGCGGCTCGTGGTTTTCTTCGGGCGGATGCAGCTGGAGTCCCGAAGTTTAGAATTTGGCACTAGGAATCATGACTCGCTATACTGATGATATCCAACTTACTTAGTAGCCTTTGCTTGCTTTATTGCCTTGTTTAGTCTTATTAGTTTTAGCACTTGTTTACTTATGCTATAACTAGGTCTTTTAGCATATTGAACTGTTTGTACTTGACTGTATTGTTTGCTCCGAAAGAACTACATACAGTTTGATTCCCGTCTCGGATACGTAGACAACTCACTTGGACGCAACTGAAAAAAAAAATCCATGTTAAAAATAAATGTACACCATAATACTAAATGAAGAGAATATTATATATTTATTATTATTATTATTATTATTATTATTATTATTATATCATTAATAATTATTTATTTTTATTAATATTATTTTATAAAAATTTAATAATTTTAAATATAAATATTATTATTATTATTATTATTATTATTATTATGAAATATTAATCTCGATCATTTAATTATATGCTTATTTAATCGAACACGAATTTTAAATAAATAGATAAAAATAAAAATTTGCTAAAATAAAAAAAAAATGGTATTTTCTACTTTTAAAAGAAAAATAATTATATTTGCACCGAGTGTGAGTTTAATATACTACATTTTTGCCCTAATACATTACAGCCGTAGCCAATTCTTCCAGTACATGCTTCTCCCCGGTTCTTTTTTTCTTTTCTTCTATCTTCTTTCCTCCTACTTCTTCTTGAGAGTCGTCGGGTTCTTCCTGTATCTTCTTCTTTTTTATTTCTTTTCTTTCTTTCTCCTTATGTTTTTGTCCTTCTTCTTTAGAGTAGCCGGCAACCACCCTAACTTTCACTGTCCACAATAGCCGCCGCGGGCCGGTACAAAATAAAAAATATAAATAGTAGCCGAACCGGTTCAGTCCAGACCGTCCGGTTTGACGGATACCGAACCGTGACAATGATGGTTTCGGTTCGAACCGACTCCGAAAGGTTCGAAACCGGATGGGCAAGCCGTGGTAAGCAAACTTGCATCCTGTTTGCATTTCTTATTTGCCAATTAGGGTTTCTCCGTTTCTGTATTCACTCGTTGATTGACGTTGGAGATCCTGAAGAAGAAGATGGTGGAAAAAAAGCTTTACAAGACGAAGCTATGTGTGCTGTACCAAAGAGGCCGCTGCTCTCGACAGCACTGCAACTTTGCTCATGGCGAGGCCGAGCTTCGCCGTTCTTTCAATGGTATTTTCTTCTTGGGTTTTCTTGGATTATTTGACGCCTCACAATTGGAATTGGATATGATTTGTTTAGAATCTCCGAGGGGAATATACTATTTTCCTGTTCAGTTGGTAGGCGGTAGGGTTTATCTTTTACTGTTCCTTCACGCCCCCTCCATCACTATATGATTATATTAGCTTCTGTAGAATCTATGCAACAAATGGATGTGGAAATAAGTAGATTGTATGCTCTAAATTCTGATTCTTAGGAACCCAAAGGCCTGAATGAATTTAAATATTTAATAGCTTACTTTTATATATAATTTTGATGCAGGAAGTGAGTATATGTTCTCATTTATGATAACTATATAGGAAGGTAAATACAGTAGAATTTTAATGCAACCGAATACCTCTGCTCAAAAATTGAGTCCCACTATTGGGGTTTTCCCCCAGTGCGAGATTTTGATTCATTTCATAACATTTTTGTGGGAGTGGCAATCCGAAAACTTAAATTTTAATGTCTGTCCAGATTTTGTAGAATTTAACTGCATTTAGATGCATTTTTGAGTTTTTTGGGGTATTGCTGTGTTTTGAAGATACTAAAAATTTTAGTAGAAAACAAGTGTTGGGTGTAATTTTTTGAAGGAATTTTTATTTTTAAATGAATTGTGTGAAAGCAAAGCTGAAAACATCAGTAAACCGAGCCTAAGCTTTATAGTATTATTAAATTAATGGATGTCCTATCACTATCTTAGTGTTAACTTTGATATGTTTTTATTGTACTGAGACTTGTACTGTGGGTGGACAGGCCGACAGGCATGATACTACACAAAACTTGTTATGTAGTATAATGAGTTTGTTACTTCTTTGTACTAGAATATGTTATCAGCAACTCTTGTTTTTTCTTATATAAACTAATTGATTGTTGCTATTCACTTATCTGTTCAATATAGTGTTAAAATATCACTATGATATGTGCGACACCTTGAATTGATATTATGCTCAATAGCTGTTTGGGTTTTCATGAAGTATTTCCAGTGCACTGACATAGCATCTTTTGTCAGAATGGATTATGCTGTCTGGTTTATCTTTATGCTGCTTTTGGTGTTCTTTTCTCAGCTTCTTGGTTTATCTAATCCATCTTGAAACTGCTCTGTTATAAGAAGGATCAGAAATAGGTTTTCATGGTATTTCTGCAGTTTGTAGAGAACCTGGTATTTTCTTCATCTGATGTCCCTATGAATGACAATGCAAAGGGCCATCAAAATGTATTATTGCTCTTTACTCTGCAGTGTCATATTCTTCGACAATGTGGTACATTCTTCATTCAATTTCTTCCTGAAAGGTATTGAAGGGGCTCCCTTGGTTTTCTTGGCTGGGAATCTAGACTAATGATGCCAATATATTGCACGTGGAAGGACATAGTTATTAATTTCATATGGACATTCGAAGAATTCTGCACCTTTCCTTTATGTTCCTATCTCACAAGGACAGGATTTCTATTCTTTGAGTTGCTTCCATGATTCTAGAAAGGGCATGAAATATCTTTATATCCTTATATGAAGAGCCAAGTTCTATTGGCTCATATTGGATTCAGCGAGAAGGCACTAAAACTGTTCATAATTATGTTACTGATATGTACCCTGTAATGGTAAGCTTAAATTCAGGTCAATTACTGGCTGGCTCTGTGCATGTCTCTGCCTTGAAGTACAGTATTTGTTCATGTTATGGCAGTTATATTTATATTTTACATTGCAGGAAGGCAGGACCATAGAGGAGGTAGAGACTTGAGAGAAAGGTTAGACCGGATGCGATCTCCATTGCGGGACTCACCTGGAAGACGAGATGGGAAATCAAGGCATTCTTCTCAAGGTGGGATACCTAGATCTTTTCATTTGGATTCTATTTGGTTGTACCCTTCACGTGGACTTTTTACCTTGGTTTTCCTTTGTGGACTATGTGCAGGAGACAGTCCTCGCTCTCTTGGTAAAAGAATGTAAGTTCAATTCAAATGGTTTTGCATTTATCCTGCCCAAGTTTTGTGGTGATATTCATTGTTGGGTTACATGGTAAAGTCTTGTTTTTGTGGCTGGTAATGTATCAAGATAGATACCCTACTTCGCTCTTCCTTTGCCTGCAGCACAATGTGTAACTAATTTACTTCCTATCCATTAATATATGGGGAAATAAAATACCTAGCCTGCATCACTTGGAAATTACCCACTGACTGTTTTGAGCAATTCAATGAAAAGTTCCTGGCCGTTTCCTATCGTATATGTTCCTGCACATATACTGGAATTTGTTTGATATGTGAGGATGTTTTGCTTTCTTGATTGCCATGATGTTGGATTGACTAGGATTCCCTCCTCTGCTTTTGATCCTAAAATTTCATTTCATTTCGCAGTGAAAGAAGTCACAAGAGAAGAAAGCCCATGGATGATTATTCTGGCAGGATGTCAGATGAAATGGATGATCAAATCAGAGATAGACGACAGACTTCGTCAGAGACCAAAATCCGCATTGATGTGCAGGTTTAACTTGTATTGGAGTTGGAAAATTTTTACTTTTTATGTGCCTTCTTATCTCTTGTGCTTGTCCTATTATTGGCTCTATGCCTTTATGTTCTTGAGTTATATGCAGTTAAAGGAGATGCACGCAGAAATTAAAACATTAGAGAGTCACAGAAGACAATTGGAGGTTAGTGTCATTTCTGCGTGGCTTTGGTTACTGGTGGTTATTTCTTAAACTCTTGTTTCTTCTTAATTGTGGAGTAATAGTTATCTGCTATTTGAAAAGCAAGCGAGGAGTTTGCCTTTTATTCATTACTTTGTTTGTATGTAAAAGCTCAATTTTCACTCTCGTTGAAAAACACTCAAAATTTCTTGTCTGCAGTGATTTTATTGTTGTTTGACTGAAGTATTGCATTCATAATTTGTGAATTCATTTAGTTTTTGTGTTGTAAAGGAGATAAGTTTTTGTCAGTGTTAACTACATTGTGCCTAAATCTCAGTTCTTTGAACACATTACTTGTTACTTGTTGAGCAGATGTACCTGGAGGATAAAATAAAGGAAGCGAATACTTTAACTTTGAGAATTCATGAGCTTGAGATGCAGCTTTCTAAAGAGAAAGAGGAGGGCAAAAGGTGATCTGTATTAGCTATTGATTTGGTTTTATTCATCATTGAAAATTAGGTTGCTCTGATAAGTTAAATAAAAATTCATAGTTGGATGTAAAAATAACATCCACTTTGGTTGATTCATGCAAGGCATTGCATATGAGTAGCTCCGAGTATTTTCACCAAAATAGTATGTTTTTCCTTTGTATATATTGCATGTCACTAAATGTGCATCTATTTCTTCGATAGGAGGTCTTTAGAACTGATATATTACTTCATTCTAATTTTCTTGGAAGCTTTCAACATTGACATTCTTATACATGGAATTATTTTTTCAAGTTTTTTTCTTTCATTCAACTCTTGTTTAAATTATTATCTTTCTTGATTATGAACAGGTTTGCGACAAAAATTAAGAAGTTCACAAAAGCACATAACCGTCACATGCGGTTACAAGATGAATTAAAGAGGTATGCTTTGAGCTTGATGATATCGTTCCTCTTCCTCTATAATATGTGTTGCCTTTTTAGGTCTCATGCTCAGCTTCAGAAGTTGGGTGAGCAGTTGGGTTTAGATGCTGCTGGAGCTGGTTCTGTAATGATAGGCAATGACGATGACTCAAAAATCAATACTGCTAGTGATGATATAACAGGCACTTATGCTGTGAGCCCTTTGACTGAGGGCCAGATTTCTTCTCCTCGGAGGAAAGGAGCACGAGCTTTGGATGGCTATGATGCCTCTAATCAAGGTAGTCTAGTACTCTAATATTATACTGAAAAGTGCATTTGGGAAGTATAATGTATATTTTTTCAACGCATGACATTCTCTTATATAGTCTAGAGTAACAATATGTTGGCCTTTTTAAAATGCTCTCTAATACTTGAAGCACACTCATATTTTAGTGCTCGGATGCATTGATTGCATTTTGATTGATTGTTTTGTATGTGTAATGTAAAGACAAGTGTTATATTTCTTTTTGGATTCTGCTATTGTATTTTCAAGTCTTTAGTAAACTGTTTACAAGGGAGTTCCTAAATTGAGTCAAAATAGCTTATTTCCTTCCTTTGGGGTTACACTACGTTCTTTTTTATTTCTCCATATCAGACATTGGATTTCTCTCCACAGTTCTCCCAGAATATACCTACCATGATACTGCAAATCCATTATCCAAGTTGTTCCGTCTTTAGCTTATAGCATATAATACATGAAATGTGCAAGAATCCCTCGTGACTAACCTTCTCTTCTCTTATATATGATCATTGGCTATATGTGATCAGCTTATTTGTAGGACACTTATTTGATTCTAGATCACAATATTCATTAGATAATGTTGGATATTTGTTTCCAGATTGAACACAGGCTGTCCTTGTATGGACGAGAATCTCTTAGCTTATTTAATCCTTTAATGGAGTGTTTAATTGCTTAACACCAGTTATGACTGAAAATATTCTAGTCTTGTGTCATTTGTGATTTTATGTGTATAGTCTGTCTCTTAGCAGACAGTCTTTTGCTTTTCTTTCTGTGAATGCAGTTGGGGGATGGACAGAGGGTGTGAAAATTAGACTGGACAAAGTCTCTCGACAATCTGGCAATCATGATCAGTTGAGCAGTGGCAAGAAAGCTGAAGTTGATGGTGATGCATATAATAGACACCAGTCCACTTATGAAGACAAGTCTGACCGAGGGTTAAACATGCCTACTGATATTGCCTCTGCTGACAAGGTGTCCCTTTACTGCCTGTCATAAATTTCTGTTTTTCATATTGAATAATGAAATTAAAATTGCTTTAACCATTAAATCAAGTTTGTTTGAGTTTGCTTTTAGATGTTCTTTAAATCCTGTGCTAAAAAGGACTAGGAATATTAAAGATCAGGGTTATACTCATTGCCAAGTGTCACTTAGAATGTAGTTTTACTGTAGCAAGAAGAGCAGGCAAAACAATTAAGGTTGCTACAAAGCTCAGGATACTGGACTGGCTGTTTATCAATTCTTATGCATCCAGTTTATTGGTTGTTTTACATGGGGCTGGAGGGTAAACTTGTTGAAGATTCACTATTGAAAGTATGTACATTTCTGTATGCTCGATCAAAATTTGGATACTTCATAGGTATATTGAAAATTACAATCAAACTTATATTTGGGGTTCAGACATTTTTTCCCTAACCTAAACTATCATAGTGGTGCATGTTCGCATAGTAGCTAACCTACCTGTTTTGACTTTTATTTATTAAACTATTTAGATGAGTTTTTATAGTAACTGACGCTGCTAATTAAGTGGGTATCATTATCAAGATTATTACATATAATAGCTCTTGGAACACTTCCAATCATTACGTATGATTTTTCTTTGTAAACAGGTTAAGAAACTTATATAGAATATCTTTGGATTGCACAAAATTATTCTAGCGTTCTTTATGTTTTACTTTCTAGGCTTCAAAAAAAGTTCGCAAATATTGGTGCATCTGAAGCCTTCATGCTTGGAATGATCTAGTTGATGATAAATTCCTGAGTCAGTTATATGTATGTTTTTATATATGATTATGTATGTTTTGTACTACTCCCACTCCCAAGTATGGTTTGCATAGTAGAGAGCAATTACACAACGATGTCAATGAGTAGTTTGAAGGAAAAAATGTGAAATCTCACAAACATAATGGCTATTATATCGTAGATAGAAATGGATATAGAAAATTATGATTTTATGTTAAGTGTAGGCTTTTATAGGGTAGTTAACCCTAATCGGCTTAGGAGTTCAGGCCCAATTGTGATTAACTCTAAAGTTAGTCTTTAAATACCCTCTTGTACTTGTAAAATCAGTGTCGCCTCAGAAGTAATAAGAGAAGCTTCTTTGTTGCCCCCGTGGACGTAGGTCGATAACCCTTATCAGCTGAACCGCGTAATTCTATGTATTCTACTTTCTTATTTGTGTGTGTGGGAGTTAATCCTAACAAGTCGTATCATAGCGAGGTTAATTCACACGAGTCACACTTGTTCAAGAACAGACCGCAGTCAAAGTAGGGAGCAAAACAGACTATGTCAGCTCAGACCCATTAACGTCAGATTTGTCAGTAGGGTCGCACTGTCTACTCGGCAGCCCTAATCGCCGATAGCATGCTGCAAATCCGATCCGACGCATTCCGCAAATTGCTGAATTCATATTTGCATGATTAAATCATGTCTGAGGATGGAAAGACCAAGATTGATAAGTTCGATGGAAAAGATTTCGGTTGGTGGAAGGTGCAAGTCGAGGATTTGCTTTGGCAGAAGAATCTAGATTTGCCTTTGACCGGAAGAAAACCCGAGATGAGCAACAATGAATGGACAATCCTTAACAAGAAAGCCTTGTTTCTTATCAGATCTACGCCAGCAAAAAACGTTGGACTTAATATTCTGAATGAGACTACCACGTATGGGTTGATGAAGACGTTGACAAACATGTACGAGAAGCCGTCTGCTTCCAACAAGGTATTTCTGATAAGACAGTTGGTGAATACGAGAATGAAAGGTGCGTCTGTTACTTTGCATATAAATGAATTCAATACTATAATATCCCGGTTGTTGTCGGTGGATAGTAAGTCTCCTCATTACCTGAAAGTTGGTCAGGAACACTCACAACTGTTGGTAGTTCAGTTGGAAATTCTAAACTTACCTTTGAAGGCATTCGTGACTTAATCATAGGAAAGAACATACAGAGACAATTCTGGTGAAACTTCAAGCACGTTGTATTGTTGAGCACTGTAAGAAGAGGCATAAAGAAAGAAAAGGGGAAGGGTAGAGGACGATCAAATTCCAAAAGGAGGAGTCAGTCAAAGCTAAGGAAGGACATTCAATGCTGGAATTGCAAAGAGTATGGACACTTTAGAAATTAGTGCTCAAAACTGCCAGAGCTAAAGGAGGTGAATGCCATTACAAACAGCTTAGACGATGCATTCATTTTCTGTGTTGAGAATTCAACTGAGTTGTGGATTATGGATTTTGGTGCATGATTCCATGCTACTTTTAGCACGAAGACGATGAAAAATGTACGAACAGGTAACTTAGGTAAAGTTCGTTTGGCTAATAATGACTCTCTTGACATAATAGGGATGGGTGACATAAATCTACAGACCCATTGGAACACCATTTGGGCATTGAAGGACGTTGGAGTAATCCCTAGTCTTAAGCTCATCTTTATTGGGCAATTGGATAATCAGGGATATAACGTCACGTTTGGAGGAAGGCAATGGAGAGTCGTCAAAGGCAATCTCGTAATTGCCAGAAGCAAGATGAGAGGTACTTTATACATGGCCGGTGTCTCTAAAAATGAAGCGAATGCAGTAACTAGCAAGCAAAGTCCGTTTGTTTTGTGGCACCAACGACTTGGCCACATGAGCATAAAAGGAATGAAATGCTTGTCACAAGAGGAAAGCTTCCAGATCTAAAGAGGGTGGATTCCGAGTTTTGTGAGCCCAGTGTGCTTGGCAAGAAAAAGAAAGTCTCTTTTGCAAAGACGGGGCAGACACTGAAACCTCAGAAGTTGGAACTGGTTCACTCTGATGTCTATGGACCAACACCAGTGTCTTCCTTTGGCGAATCAAACTACTATGTAACGTTCATAGATGATTCAACATGAATGGTATAGATCTATTTTCTTAAAAACTAGTATGACGTTTTCAATACTTTTAAGAAATGGAAGACTGGTGTTGAATTCGAAACTAACGTGAAGTGCTTGAAATAGGATAATGAAGGTGAATACATGAGTACATAGTTCACCGAGTATTGTGTTGAACACGGGATACGGATGATCAAGACTGTCCCAGGCACTCCTCGTCAAAACAAAGTGGCAAAAAAGATGAACAAAACACTGAATGAGAGGGCCAAAAACATGAGATTGAATGCTGGACTTCCAAAGGCATTTTGGAATGATGCAGATAACATTACTGCTTATCTTATTAACCGAGGACCTCAGTGCTATTGGGTTTCAAGATACCCGAAGAAGAGTGGAAAGGGAAAGCAGTAAAGTATGAACACTTGAGAGTGTTAGCATGCAGTGCTTATGATCTAACGAGAGATGGTGACAAGTTAGATACCAAAGCCAGAAAATACACCTTCATTGGATACAAAGGAGACAAGGTGAGCTATCATCTATAGGACTTTGAAAGCAAAAAGATGCTAGAAGCAAGCATGCTACATTTGATGAAGTTGAAGTTTTCAAAGACGGGAGCACAAAAAACTCGAAGGTTGCGAAAGAACAGGTCGAGTTGACAATGATGCTTTCAAAACTAGAGAGTTAGTGGATTCTCAAGAGAGTGGGAGTTAGGAGAATGAATCCAGTACTGACGAGTTAGAAGGCAATCAAGGGGACTTTTTTTACAGTGAAAGTTCGGAGGATGAAGTACCTCCCATTTTACCGGTGCAAACGTAGCTAGCCGAGTCACAGCGGGTCAGGAGATCCACTAGAATCACCAAACCTCCATCGACATATGATCCTAGCGTAAACTATCTCATTTTGACTGAAAATGGTGAACCAAAAAGTTATCACGAAGCAGTCAAGCAGATTCGAATTCAGTGGGAACGGCCATGAAAGAAGAAATGAGTTTGAAGGCAATCAAGGGGACCTTTTTGACAGTGAAAGTTCGGAGGATGAAGTACCTCCCCATTCACTGGTGCAGCTGCAGGTAGCCGAGTCACAGTGGGTCAGGAGATCCACTAGAGTTACCAAACCTCCATCAAGATATGATTCTAGCGTAAACTATCTCCTTTTGACTAAAAATGGTGAACCAAAAAGTTATCATGAAGCAGTTAAGCAGATTCGATTCAGGAATGAGTTCCTTGTACAAAAACAAAATATTTTTGACTAAATTTCCTTCCGACAAAGGAGCGTTTCAAAATAAATAGGTATTCAGAATTAAAGATGAACGAGATGGATCGAAAAGGTATGAAGCTCGCTTAGTGGTTAAAGGCTTTCAACAATAAAAATGAGTAGACTACACTGAAATTTTCTCCTCAGTAGTAAGGATAACCACTATCAGATTGGTTTTCAGTATTGTAGTTGCAGAGGGCTTACATCTAAAGCAGCTAGATGTTAAGAAAGTATTTCTACATGGTGATCTCGATGAGAATATCTACATGGTACAACCTGCGCGGTTTCAGGTTGCTGGAAAGGAGAATTGGGTCTGCAAGTTGAATAAGAGCTTATACGGGGTCTAAAACAAGCCCCCTGGCAATGAAACATGAAGTTCGACAACTTCATGATGAGAACGGGGTACAAGAGATGCAAAATGGACCATTGCTGCTATGTGAAGAAGTTTAAGGGTTCCTGCATCATTCTGACTTCTCTACGCAAATGATATATTGATAGCTGGTGCAGATATGAGGGAAATCAACAAGTTAAAGCAACATATGCCTAAGGCATTCGAGATGAAAGACTTTGGTCTAGCCAAACAGATACATGGGATGAGTACATCAGAAACAAGGATGGCACTCTGACACTCTCAGGTGAAGTATATCGGGAAAGTGTTAGAGAAGTTCAACATGAATAATGAGAAGACTAAGCCGAGAAACACATATTTGGGAAGCCACTTCAAGCTTACAAAAGACCAGCTCCGAGAACAGATAAAGAGAAGGTTAGATATGGCTTAAGTCCCTTATGCATCTGCAGTTGGTAGCCTTATGTATGCGATGGTGTGCACGAGATCGAGAAGGTAGATATGGCTTAAGTCCTTTATGCATCTGCAGTTGGTAGCCTTATGTATGCGATGGTGTGCACGAGATCGAGAAGGTAGATATGGCTTAAGTCCTTTATGCATCTGCAGTTGGTAGCCTTATGTATGCGATGGTGTGCACGAGATCAGACGTTGCTCATGCAGTCGAGGTTGTTAGTTGCTATATGTCAAATCCGGGGAGAGAACATTGGGAAGCCGTCAAGTGGATACTAAGGTATTTGAAGGGTACTTCGAAGATGAAGTTATGTTTTAGAGGCAAAGACGCGATTCTCTTAGGGTATTCTGATGTTGATTTGGCAGAATGCAATAAGATGCTTAAGAGCACTACAGACAGGAACTGTAGTCAGCTGGATGTCTAAACTTCAAAAAAGTGTGGCGTTTTCGACGACAGAAGCCGAGTATATGGAAGTTGTTAAGGCTAGCAAAGAGTTAGTTCGGCTAAAGAACTTCCTCCTAGAGTTGGATAAAAGGCAGACAGATTATTCATTAAACTGTGACAATGAGAGGGCAGTCAAAAATCTGGTCTATCATGAAAAATGAAGCATATTGACATGAGATATCACTTTATCAGAGGATTGATAAGTGAAGGCTACAATGAAGTTGAAGAACATCTCAGGCGCTATGAATCCAGTAGAGATGTTTACAAAAACTGTGACACTGGACAAGCTGAAGTTATACATGCCTTCAGCCAGTCTTCATGGAAAATTATGAGAAGACCGGGGCAATCAAGTGAAGCTGAGGATTTTACGGCAGTACAGTGGAGCGTAGATGTTTCGAAGCCTCAAAGTGGGAGATTGTTAAATGTAGGCTTCTTTAGGGTAGTTAATCCTAATGAGCTTAGGAGTTCGAGCCCAATTGTGATTAACCCTAAATTTAGTCTTTAAATACCCTTTTGTACTTGTAAAATCATTGCCGTCTCATATTGAAGTAATAAGAAAATCTTCTTGGTTGCTCCTGTGGACGTAAGTCAATAATCCTTATGGGCTGAACCATGTAACACCCCGGCCGGCTCAAATCGGAGCGTCATCGCCACGCCACACCGTAAGGCTCGTTCATCAACTAACTAGCCCTACGTTGTGGCGCTAAGGCTAAAATAACCATTACAAAATAACTATTTAGAGATTTAGAATTAAAGCGCACCGATTTATCATTTAAATAAATAATGCTCAAGTTAAAAGCATAAGTTGGAAATAGTTCAAAAGACATTAGTTATTAAACATTAATAATGGATTTCAAAAATATTTTAAAAGATAAAGTAGTTATAGTTTCCCCGATGGATCATATGACGTGGATGCATCATTTAGGTATAACTGAAACATGATCACTTACAAAAAGTTGTAAAAAGAGAGTCAACGATTGAGTAAGCGCAATTAATCGGAGATAAATTAATACGGTATAATGCCACAAAATCATTTGAAGAACATTATTTGAATAAGATGACACATATCACATAAGGATAACTCACACGCGCGAGTCTTTTAGCGCCTCTCTTATATCTCATTTTCATTCTCAAATAAGAGCGATGAACACATCACGAAGAAAACTCCGCTAGGCCTTAATCAGGGCCGGCTTGACCCGGTTTTCCAACCTTATTACTTCGTATGACACGTCACATAGTTTCACATAACAAACATAGGGTCACAACCCTCAAAGGAAACTCCACAATGTGTACATAAGGGTTCGAAACCCAAAGTACACGTAAATCAATTTATTATTAGTTTGTGAGGGGCGCCATACGGCCCACAACCCTCTAGTCTCTAATATAACATACCAAGAGAGGATTGTACGCAATCCATTCCCCCATCACGGATGACGGTCTAAAGACCTTTTCATCGTGAATGACGGGCACTTCGGAATCACCCAAAAGGGAACCAGCCATCTCGATCCCTCGACCTAGTCTATTTGGGATCTAGTTCAAGGTTAGCTAGTTATCCTAAAATACCGGTATACCCTCACGTGTTTGCAAGGCACAGAGGTGGAAGGCTATGCCTTATCATCCAAACAATCGACGAGTTGATCGGATTCGACGGGTAGTTTTAGTTACCAATTTGACCAAATACTCTACATGCTCTTAGGCAAATTTCAAAAAAAGTGTTTTAAACTCAAAATATTCCAATTGTCAAGATTTAACCATGCAAAAGTAGGATATTGGACCCAACAAGTTCGTTATAATCTCACTTTATTTCGCCAAATAAACATTCGAAAAATATGTCAATCACAATGGGCATGGTCTAATTCCAAAAATCATAATATTTAAATATAATCGTAAATTTTTTTTCCAAAAACCATAACTAGGTCAGGGCAAAACTACGGTTTAAAACCCATCCCATAAATTCTACGCTTTTCAATTTAAAATTCAATAATAATCATAAGCCTTAGATGACATTATAATCAACTTTCTAGAAAAAATTGGCAAAATCTAACACTTTTGAGCAAATCCATTTGACAATAATTTTGAAAAATATCAATAGAAGGGGTCTAGGATTAGAACATATCATCCATCTAAGATTAATTCCACTTACCTTAAGAAAATAGACCAAAAGGAAGAGTTTTGGTGAAGAAGAATTCCAAGGAAGAAGAGGGGAGGGGACTGGCTGCTCCTCGCTGCTGTGCTGCCTCTGTTATTTTCTTTTTATTTTATTTTATTTTATACTTTATTAACATAAAATACTTAGACTCATCTTCTATATATAAAGACACTCTAACTTGGATATGCTATATCTTAACAAACTATGAATATGCTAAATCTTATCAAATCTACACTTATATATGATATATCTTAACAAATTATGGATAAAGATACCTAAATTAAGAGATACTGATAAACTAAATTTAGTTTATTATTTATTTTACCCTAAACTAAATTTTATTCCTAATTTACAGCCAATTCCTTAATTTCTTACACCAAAAGCTCAAAATAAATTAGGCCTACAATAATATTTTCCGACTCCGGCGTCGAAGTCCGGCAAGTTCTGGCGAACTTCTGGCGAGTATTTTTACGGGATATTACAATGTCATCCTTTGTGTTCTACTTTTTTATTTGTGCGTGTGAGAGAGTTAATCCTAACATTTGACATATTCAACTTTCTCTTCAATTGTTTCTTGCTTTTTGTGGCCTCATTAAGATTTTAATGTTCTCCAACTTGTGATAGTTACCTTACTTAACCAGTGTTAATCTGTTGAAATAGTGTGGCAGCCACAACCTTCTGAAACTCATTGCCTTAATGTTATTTTCTCCATTTTGATTTGCAGTACAAAGTATCTGAGGCAGGACCTGCTCTGCCCTCAACAGGTATAGCTGCTCATGCAATGGATGAGGAAATCGAAGTTGTTGAAGTGGATGAAAAGATTCAGGCAGTTAATGCTGCTGCTTTGACTGGAGTTGAAGCAGAAGATTCTTTGAAAGAGCAACTTTCGCTCTTTCCCCCACCCCCGCTTCCTCCTATCCCCCAGAATGCTTATGCACAGGTTTGTATATATATACATATATAGTGGGAGATAACACTTGCTTCACACTAATAAAGATGCATTTAATCCTCTTGCTTTGACGTGGTTGCAGTACAAAGCTGATGACGAGACTGTGGACATTGATGGAGTTGATGAAGAAGCTGTGGAAGTGGATATTGTGTGATAAATGATGTCTACTATCCGCTCAGATTGTTGATAGAGCAAGTTTTGTAACTGACCTCTATAGAACAAACTATAGGGGATTCTGCCTTTTTTTGTTTTATATATATGACAGTCAGAGAGAGACCATTAGACTTTTGCAGGAACTTGGGAATACATGCATACATGTCATGTCAAGGTTTTATTTTCTCTCCTCTCCTCACCTCACCTCATCGTTATCGTGGAGATTCTCATTTGGTAATGACAGCTTTCATGTTCCATGTGTTATTTATTTGTGAGCGTTAATAGCAATTTTGAATTCAGACTTCACGGTAGTCAGTCATGCTTCATTTCCCCCACCAGTTGGCCGGCCCACCCTTTAGGGCCAAAAGTTATAACATTTTCCCTACCACATGGTATGGTGTGGAGGTAACTGTTAAAAGGTTCTTTTCCTCTATGCTATGGTATGTATAATGTAGATTTAAATTTATTCTGATGCGTGGGTAAATGTGCTATTTGTGTAATATATTGTATAAATTAAGTAATTTGTAGATGTAAGGTTATATATGCTTTCATAATATTCATGATAAAAGATATTAGTATATTAATGTTAAAAAATATTTCAGCAAAGTCATCAAATCAATTTTTAAATTATTAAGATAGGACTAATTTTATTATATTTTATTTTAATTTCTAACATTCTTTAAAATATTCCAAATTATTTTTTTATTTTTATCATTTTATTTCAATAAAAATATTTTTTTAAAAATTTTCGTGCAGGACATATAAGTGCTAATTTTAATTAATGGATGGATGGAGTATTAATTTATTAATGTCAACAGCCATAATTTATTGATAAATACTTGGTAACTAACACAAGATCCCCACCAATTCATCTCACCATGTCAATCAATAGTAACAACCCAGGGAGATATGTTGTTCAGTTCGGGCATGGCGTCATTCGATTGAAATCTAGATCAAGGGTGAAATTTACATAATAAGCAAAAATGAGATTTTGAATTTAATTTAATTTGAGATAATAATTGTATTATTTATGAGTTTAATTTTATCAGTTTAAATATATAATATATATTTATAATTATTGGTACGTATGAAATTTATTATTGTTACGTATGAAATTTATAATTAGGTTTTGACGCTAAAGCAAATTATTTTTGTGTGTATTCTGTGACTTTTACTTTAAAATATACATTATAACTAATATATATGAAGGCTTAAGGGCATTACAAAAATATTGTATTTTATTCACGGAATTACTCACCGGTTTAATTATGTGAGTAATTACGGATGTACTCACATAATACACACAAAAATTACTTACGGAATCAATACCCTGAGTAATTACTAAAAAAATTAAAATTTACTCACGCAATTACTTGTGGAATTAAATTATATGAGTAATTCCTTTGAAAAATGAAATTTACTCAAGGATTCGAAACTTTCGAATGAAAGTCTCGGTTATGGTTTGACAGTTTCAGTTACGATTTATAAACCACCGGTTATTGTTTGAAACGCGGGTTTATATATATATATATATATATTCATTTTTAATATTTTTATTTCTATTTTTTTTAAATTTAAATTGTATTTAAAAATAATTTATTTTATTTTATTTAAATATGTTTATTATTGATTTATCAGTTAAATGAAGATAAATACTTACATCGTGAAAAACTTCTTTAAAACTCCCCAATCTTATTTGCTTTCCCTAAAACTCTTTCTTCATATAATTATATTTCTTTTTAACTCTAAAATTATATTTTTACCCTTCTACAAAATACTAATTCACAAAATTACCAAATTTATTCAAAATCTGCAACTTGGGTGAAATTCTCCTGCCCTAATTGGATTTGTTTGACATAAACCGCCACCACCATTGTCGCCAATCGCTGTCGCCGTTGCCACCTCACCACCGTCACCATTCGCCTACTCGTCCGCCATCCACCCACCCCCGCCCACAATGACTTACTGTCAGAAGTAAGTTAATGTTATTTTCGAATTGTAATTTGATTTTGTTGTTGTTTTTTTAATCGTATTCTATATGTTTTTATTTATTGATGTAATTATTTAGTTTTATTATTTAGAAAATATTCAAAATGTTATCAAAATGTATTTTTTTTTAATCACAATTGTAGTTTTTTACATTGGTAATAATTTGGTGTGTTTGTTAAATAGAATATATTAGTTTTTTACGTTAAAAGTTTTTAATTTAATAAATACATATTGTCTTATCTCTGTAGGAAATTTAGGAAAAAATAAGATAGTAATCGAAGAAAAATAGAAGAAATAGTTGATGATTATCGGGCAATCATTGCGAAATATATTCTGAGTGCGGTCAAGTCTTGTTAGTAGGGCCAAGTTGGGTGCATTGGTGGTGTAGTTTTCATCATTGTATATGTTGTAAATATTTTATTCTCGTTGATTAAATATTATACTTAAATTGTTTGTGAACTACAAAAAAATAATATATTTGTAACGGAATTCCGTCCCTAAAGTTCACGTAGCTAACGTAATTTCATTCATAATTCCGTCTCTAATGTCATTAGTAACGGAAAAAGTAGATTTAGAGACAAAAAAGTTTTGTTACAAAAATGATTTTTTTCTTGTAGTGGTGGTCTTCACTTGTGTTTCAATTTGATTTAGTAGTGCATCAAAATATTACAATGAATAACTAAAAAATTTGTCATCGAATCCACTAAAAACTATGATATGATATTACATTTGAAAAAATATGAGGTTAAGCGAAGGCCAAGTGCAACTTGATTCCTATGAAAGCACAATTTTAAGTTTGTGTAGGTACAATTATCTTCTATTGTAGGCTCTTCTATTGTAGGCATAATCTTTATCGTATAAGTTATTCGAGGCGGTTACAACATATATGCATTTATGTATATATTAATATATATATATAATTGTATATACAATACTTATAAATAACTTTTACAAATAGATATTTATTTACATATACATTCTACATTTATACTTGACTAATATTTATAAACAACATTCATATATACATTTATATGTACAATTACAACTTTTACATGTACATATACTTTTACATTTGGAGGCTATCAATCAAATCCCCAAGTACGCGAAGTTTTTGAAAGAACTGTGCACCAACAAAAGAAAATTGCGAGGGGATGAGTACATTATAGAGTGTGACAACGTTTCTGTTGTTCCCAAAAGAAAGGTACCACCTAAAACAGGTGATCCAGGTATGTTTTCTATCCCTTATAGGATTGAAAAAAAAGAGATACGAAAAGCACTGCAATTAGAATTATAGAGCACAAAGTACGTATAATCTATAACATGCTATACAATATAAAGGAAAAACATTGAAAAAACAAACGTGCTAAATATACTAATTTCGAACACTTTACAACAAATACGAAAAGCACTGCAATTAGAACTATAGAGCACAAAGTAAGTATAATCTATAAAATGCTATATAATATAAAGGGAAAACATTGAAATAACAAAAGCACAAATATACTAATTTCGAACACACTACAACAAATACGAAAAGCATTGCAATTAGAACTATAGAGCACAAAGTAAGTATAATCTATAACATGCTATATATAATGCAAAGGACAAACATTGAAAATCCAAAAGCGCTAAATATAGTAAATTCGAACACTCTGCAACAAATACGAAAAGCACTGCAATTAGAACTATAGAGCACCAAGTAAGTATAATCTATAACATGCTATATAATACAAAGGAAAAACGTTGAAAAAACAAAAGCGCTAAATATACTAATTTCGAACACACTGCAACAAATACGAAAAGCACTGATATTAGAACTATAGAGCACAAAGTAAGTATAATCTATAACATGCTATATAATATAAAGGGAAAACATTGAAAAAACAAAAGCGCTAAATATACTAATTTCGAACACTCTACAACAAATACATAAAGCAGTGCAATTAGAACTATAGAGCACAAAATAAGTATAATCTATAAAATGCTATATAATATAAAGGGAAATCATTGAAATAACAAAAGCACAAATATAATAATTTCGAACACTCTACAACAAATACGAAAAGCATTGCAATTAGAACTATAGAGCACAAAATAAGTATAATCTATAACATGCTATATAATACAAAGGAAAAACATTGAAAAAACAAAAGCGCTAAATATACTAATTTCGAACACTCTGCAACAAATACGAAAAGCACTGCAATTAGAACTATAGAGCACAAAGTATAATCTATAACATGCTATATAATACAAAGGAAAAACCTTGAATAAACAAAAGCGCTAAATATACTAATTTCGAACACTCTACAACAAATACGAAAAGCAATGCAATTAGAACTATAGAGCACATTGTAAGTATAATCTATAACATGCTATATAATATAAAGGGAAAACATTGAAAAAACAAAAGCGCTAAATATACTAATTTCGAATACTCTACAACAAATACGAAAAGCACTGCAATTAGAACTATATTGCACAAAGTAAGTATAATCTATATCATTCTATATAATGCGAAGGAAAAACGTTGAAAAAACAAAAGCGCTAAATATACTAATTTCGAACACTCTGCAACAAATACGAAAAGCACTGCAATTAGAACTATAGAGCACAAAGTAAGTATAATCTATAACATGCTATATAATATAAAAGGAAAACATTGAAATAACAAAAGCACAAATATACTAATTTCGAACACTCTACAACAAATACGGAAAGCATTGCCATTAGAACTATAGAGCACAAAATAAGTATAATCTATAAAATGCTATATAATATAAAGGGAAAACATTGAAATAACAAAAGCACAAATATACTAATTTCGAACACTCTACAACAAATACGGAAAGCATTGCAATTAGAACTATAGAGCACAAAATAAGTATAATCTATAAAATGCTATATAATATAAAGGGAAAACTTTGAAATAAAAAAAGCACAAATATAGTAATTTCGAACACTCTACAACAAATACGAAAAGCATTGCAATTAGAACTATAGAGCACAAAGTAAGTATAATCAATAACATGCTATATATAATGCAAAGGACAAACATTGAAAATCCAAAAGCGCTAAATATACTAAATTCGAACACTCTACAACAAATACGAAAAGCCCTGCAATTAGAACTATAGAGCATAAAGTAAGTATAATCTATAACACGCTATATATAATACAAAGGAAAAACATTGAAAAAACAAAAGCGCTAAATATACTAATTTCGAATACCTACAACAAATACGAAAAGCACTGCAATTAGAACT